GGAGCTCAGCATTCTTCTGACATTACTCCCCCATTCCCTCCCTCCCACCCCCCCTAACAGCCAAGCTTATTCTTTCATTCAGTCACTTCATGTCATCTGATTGCATTTCAAAATGCAAAACTTTTTACAAGATGGATAGCATTAGGAGCTCTGTAGACTTGTTAAGTCAAACCCTGATAAATGACCCGTACCCTATGTGTACCTCATAGACAGCAAGCCATAGTATTCATTGACCTTAAGACTCCATCAAATCATGTTGGTAGAATGTGGTTCTCAATGTAACTGCCTCTGATTTCAACGGCTGCATTTCCTACATAAAGAAAAACCTATGCCAGTGGCCTATAGGCAGTCAATTCTGTTTTGCTAAGAATTTTGAATACCCTTTCATAAAAATGTGAAGAAAAATAAAACCCATCATGGATGAGGTAGAAGTATTTGATGTTTAGGCTAATGGTGACTTTTTAAAATGGCTTCTGAAAAGTTAAAGGCAGGTTCTTGAGCAAAAAATCCACTGATTTGCATTATAGATACGAGATCCATAAGAGTGAAATCAAAGTAACCTTATTTCTGCTTTTCTTCTGAATTCTGGCATGCTGTTTTGGAAAGGAGTAGCAGGCTAACTCTGTTAAATTAAGGAGTTTGGTTCAGTTAAACATCTAAAAAGTTTGAGTGCTTATTTGAAACATCTCCAAACAATCTGGGCATTTTTTACATGTACTGTGGAATGGGGCACTGGGTGCTTTAATTAGCAAGCCACACTAATTAAAAGCGCCTGCATATCACATGTATCAGTATTGCCATGTGTCCCTGCACTGAAAAAATGGTGGCAGGGTGCTTTCAACTAAAGCTCATAGAACATGTTTTATTTCAAAGCACCCCGCTGCCTTTTTTTCAGCATGGAGATGTGCAGTGATGTGGATACATGTGACGCACAAGGCTGCTTTAGTGCATCAATTTCCATGCTCCAGCAGACTCGATTAATCAAGTCTGCTCCATATGTGTGTATAGGAGCTGTTTGCATCTGGGGTGACTGCAAACATCAGAAAAGCCTCTTGTTTCTGCTAGGCTGGCTTTGTTGCCCCTGGTTGGCCTGTTAATGCCATAGAAACTGAAATTCATGTAGTTACACCCAAAAGTACGGAAGGGAGCTCCAATGGAAACTAATACGGAGAGATAAAAAGTGAACCCAGTATTTCCTGAAGGGTGCACTTGTTCACTCAATGGGTGGTTTGGGGATAGCTTTCAGAAAAGCCTTGAGTAAATCACATGAGTTCAAATCCTTGGTTGAACCTGAAATACTGTAAATCAGAGGAATAATCTCTCTATTCACATTGTTTCTTTCCTGCTTCCTTCTGCAATACAATACAGTGACATTATTAAGCTATATATAATAAATCTACAGTCCTTTCTTGCCATGAGATAGGATGTTGCTCTTTGAGCTTTGTTGGTATCTAGCAGTCAGGAAGAATGGTACATATATGAACAACAGGGCAGTAATTTTTCTTTCAGGGAAAAACTCAAAGCATTTCTCCAACCTGAGTCACTTATTAGAGTTGACATTATGGCATTTTCTCACTTTGCAAAAGCTTATCTGTTTTCATTTTGAGAATCCACTAGTATTTTCCTATGAGGCTTATTATTGTACAAATTATTATTAAGTTAGTGTTAACATAAACATAACATAAATATAACAACTTTGTATTGGTAGAATTAAGCAATTCAAAAGAGGTAGGGTGTTTTGAAGAGGGCATTGGAATTAATTGCCCTGGCAATGTACATTGGCAGTGTCTTTAGACACTACAGCAGCTTGACAGATTAATTGGCAGCAGACACTATCTTGTTGCAATCCAGGGATCCTACTATGTTATAGATAGTTCTAAGTATATGAATGACAGGGTGTTAGAATGGATGGGCAAAACAGTCTGGATAAGAACATACACCAATGCCTGGAGCTCAAACAGGATCAAAACCGAGCCTTTCCTGAGGCCTTGAAAGGGTTTTCTACTTGTTTACTTCCATTAGTTGTTTCCAAAAACACTAAAAAATTAGGAGAAGTTTTGAACATCTATGCCTCTTAATTTCAATCTCAGAGCTGAAATAGAACTGTAGATCTATTGCAAGTGATCCTGTACTGTATCAATTGCCAGCCCAGTTTTGTAGGTCCAGGATTGTACAGAGTTCAAATATGCTTCTGATGTGCAATCCAATTTTAAGGGTGCTTCACTGAAACTTTATAACATTATGAAGTTTTCTTATTGCTAGCTAATAGATGAGTTTTTTAAATAAAACAGTAGGCTTTCCAGTCTTATCCCTCCCAGAAATATAATATAATATAATATCATATAATATACATGTATGTATATTTGTGTGTGTACCTGGCCCAATAAACTATTCTGAATTGTTATCCACCTTCTATACCACATCTTATCTATCAATTTGGCAGTTACATTGAGGTCTTAATGATTTCCTGATTCAAATCCGGTGATGTTCCCTGTACAGGACAAAACAACACTGGAGAGCCTGACTCAACAACTGGCAGTAAAACAGAATGAAGACGGGAAGTTTAGCCACGCAATGATGGATTTCAACATGAGCGGAGATTCTGACGGTCAGTAGGAACTGCTTATCCCTATTCCAGTTATGCATGTACATCAACAGTCTGTGCAGAAGAATGCAAACTCCCTTGGAGGTGGAGGCACAGAGTGGCTACTAAACAAATCGGGAGAAATTATTCATCTTGTGCTGTTTTAGGTCTGTGTACAAATTTTTATTTCTCTCTGTTGTACACTTCATTTGTCAAGGCTGGACCAAGAACACATTCTTCCCATAAAAATGAGAAAAATAAGGCAAATAGAGGTGGGATAACTGAGATCATACAGAGAGTCCATGAATTATCAAGCTGATCATCCGTGGATGATGCACACTCTCGGTCTGTGGGAGCTTGTTTGGATTTGATGAAGCAAGCTTAATGTTCTTTTCTTTTTCTGCCATTGCTTATGTTACCGTGGAGGTGTAAGCACAAGAAAAGGCAGCTGTGTAAAATGTTCATTTGTTAGTTAGAGACTTGCTTAAAAAATGCCTCATGTTACCATATATTAGCCCTATTCTCATCACCAAGGAGCCAGGAAATTGGTAATACAATACGGTCACCATCTGTAACTTACAAGAACACAAATCGCCACTGATAAAAATGTATTTTTAGGTTGTTATGCAGTAAAAGAAGTTGGAAAAAAAAGTTTTTACACAGTTCATGTGGAAAAAAGAACTGGGTTTTTTGCCTGTTCAGATGTATACAGCATAAAGCATACCACAGGATTCAGTACCAGGACAATTACTAAAAAGTAGACAGATGATAGAAAGAATGAGATACAGCTGACCAACTAAAGCAGAGGGGGAAATATTTTGAATGTGTTTTGAACAAATGCTTCACGGAGTCTGCAACACCTCAGAAAGGAACCCAAAACAGAGGAAGTTGTGCAATCAAAATGCAAGTTGGGGATTACTTTCTCCTCTCTTTTTAGGAAGTGCAGGTGTCTCAGAATCTAGAATTTATCGGGAATCCAGAGGGCGTGGCAGCAATGAGCCCCATATCAAGCGTCCAATGAATGCCTTCATGGTGTGGGCTAAAGATGAGCGAAGAAAGATCCTTCAAGCCTTCCCCGACATGCACAACTCCAATATCAGCAAGATACTTGGTAAGAAAACTGATTTTTCTGTACTAGAACTCATTGGCACTGATTGAGTGTTTTGAAGAGAATTTACTGCTTGATACTATCCAGAGTCTAGCCATTATATGGACAGCAGCAGGAATACAATTTTCCCCAGTGCTGCTCAACAGTATGCATCAACTGTAACTTGGAGAGCCCCTTCAGTCTTTATAATCTCTAACTCTGTGTGTGTGTGTGTGTGTGTGTGTGTGTGTGTGTGT